TGAGAATAATAGGACCAGGGAACACAAATATAAATGTTGGCAAGGTAGGAGTCATCTTCAACTTAGACTAGTTTTAATTTTCTAACAGGGTGGTTGGCCTTTGGAATGGTTTGCCTTCAGATGTTGTGGAGGCAGTACATTTAAGGGAATTTAAGAGAAAACTTGACAAGTATATCAATAATAAGGGCTGGCTTTAAGTATTTTTTAAAATTCATTTATTAATAGTTTAGTTTAGAGAATGGGATAGCCAAATAAATCAGTAGGTCCCATGTTGTCCCAAAACATTGTATTGTTTTATATTAATTCTGTATCTCATGTTACTAAGAGTAAGAGCACAACAGGCTGAGTTTGACATTTCAAATACCACTAAAAGCAATTAACTCTCTTAAATCTTTCAACAACTAGAAACCTGTACCTCCACTGTATTTAATCATTTCAATTTTGTTATTTATGACAGAGCAATTAAATAGGAGGCATATGTTTTATAATCAAGCCTTGTTTCACTTTTTGTTCTTGTTTTCATTATTGACAACCCATACAACTTACAAGAATTTCCAAATATTCTCTAACATTTTATATTTATAATAATAAATACTTACTCAATAACTAGACAAGATATTGAGCGTTGTCTACATAACAGGAACTGAGTTTGTTAAACAATATCGAAGTACATAATATTAGTAATACTAGGAACCAAGACGATTACTCGTCACAGGATATGGATGATTTGCTCTCAAAATAAACTTAGCATAAAAAAGTAAACAAAAAAGAAAATCTGTCAAAACAAAATATATCTTTCTTTGCAAAATATGACCAAAGTATTTCATCGTACTATTACTAGTATTACTATTAGTCTATGACAAGGTTGAGTGCGAAAATGTTACGCTGACATTCTAAAAAATATTATTTGAAAACTAGCGTAATAAAAATTCATAAACGTCGAAACTAAAAAGCCTTTACCGCTATAACAGTAATTAGCTTTACATGATTAAATTATTGTTGTGGGCTACTTGGACTATTTCATTTGATAAGTTATTGACTTCCGCAGTTAAGTTCTGCTACTTGGTTCGATTTCATCATGTTTCAGCCTTGTGATTTTATATCCAAAACAAAATTATTTCTGTTATTTTGACATTAACATTGCACTATCTACATCAAAACATTATTCAACACACAATATGAATTTAATAACTTTTTACCTTGATCAAATAAATTCAAAGCTATTTATTATACACAAACTCACCTTTTCAGTTTTGTTTCTTTCTTTCGTTAGTACCACACAACCTAACAACAAAATAATGTGTATGAGAAATGAGGAAGTCTAACCCGTGACAAAACTACAATCAACGAGAATAAAGCCCTAAAGGCTAAGCATAGAATTAACGCCATCTGTTGAGTGAGAAGAACACTCTTTTAGCTTGCTCATAACAATTAATGCCCTCCCCCCAGTGGCACAGCGGCATGTCTGCGGACTTACAACACTAGAATCCGGGTTTCTATACCCGTGGTGGGCAGAGCACAGATAGCCCATTGTGTAACTTTGTACTTAATTACAAACAAACATTACAATTAATTTATAATTCTTAATTTAGATGTTTTGAAAAAAAAACATTAACGCGGGCAATAGCTTTTTGAGATAGCGAATTCTACTTTTATTATGTTATGGTTTGGTTTACCGTTCATTTATAATTACTTCTATCGTCTAGTCCAACTGCGAATTTTTAGTTATATTAATTTAATTAAAGCGCTAACTCACCTTTTATCTGGAGCACATTGATTTTGAGTACACATGTAATGTATTATGAAACTGACACAAGCTTCCCCTAGCGGTAACGTGCAGATAATAATGTTGTGTAAGATTATGTAGATATATGGTAATAGCTAGTCACATGTGATGTAGCCTCATGGTCTAGCCACTAAATAAAAAGCCTTCCTTGATCTTAACGAGTTAGAATATTACAGTGGAATGCCAGGGGCATTAAGACTCATGCCCCATTCCTTATACGATACAATGAAACTCACTGCATAAATCCCGATATTATCTGTATTCAGGAATCATTTCTCAAACCCCATATTAAATTCTGCATACACGGATATAAACCTGTACGAAAAGATCGAGAACACTCAGCAAAGGGAGGTGTAATAACCCTTGTCAAGAATCACTTGCTCTTTACCACCGTTACTTGCCCAGAAAATATAGAAGCTGTTGGGATTCAGTGTCAGACTTCTATGGGAAGTGTCACGATATTTAACATTTATAACCCTGGTGTTGCCATTCGAGAGTTTTTTTTTCTTCCTAATAGTATACTTTGTGGAGATTTCAATGCTCACAACCCGTTATGGGGTGGAACAAAAACTGACTATCGAGGTCAGATTCTCGGTGATCTAGTTATGGAATCTGATAAAGTGGTTTTAAACGACGGACGTGGGACATGTCTGGTTCGGGATAATCTCTCTCCTCTAGATCTCACTATTATAGACAGTAAACTTGCTAGTCTTGCTACCAGGGATGTTCTGGACGATGACCTGGGAAGTGATCATCTCCCGGTCATTACATCTCTTAAGATCCCTCTTGAACTTAGGAGTATAACGACCTTCTGGAACTTTACCAAAGCAAACTGGCCTAACTTCCATACTGTTACGTCTCCGTTTGTTAATTAACTTTCCGTAACTTCGTTCCGACGAAACTTTAGCGACACAAGTCCTTACTTAATAAAACTGGTTTATTCTTTCCGAATACAACTTTACGATACACTTATTTTCAATATTCGCGCTAAAACAAACACTATAACGAACGAACGTTAACTTCAACAATACTCTGTGACTGCAGTTCAATTACTCACTATCTACACAAACATTATTGTCACGTTGTGAGAGTCTTATTTATATACCAGAAAAACATATATCTAGTAAATGCTAGGGCATTCACGAAGGAACAAGATACTTCTAGAAAATAGGTGGCGTCACACTAGTCACATGACCTCGATGACGCAACAATACGTTCCTTGATTCTTCCGTTCAAAACATAGAAATGTCTTCTTCTGTTGAATCAGTACATTCCCGTCTAGTAAATATCATTCTGGAAGGAGCAGAGAAATTTATTCCACTATCAACCACAGACTGTGGGAAACAACAAACTCCTTATTAGAATATGGAATGTGAAAAAGCAGTTAAACAAAAACACAAGAGTAGGAAGAAAGCTCTTGAAACACGTCTCTTAGACGATTATATCGAGTATTAAAAGCAGAAGGCCATTTCTCAACGTACAATTCGAGAACGCCAACAACGTTTCTGGTGTAATTACTGCTCTAGTTTCAACCGTTCTTCAAATTTAAGTAAACTATGGAAATTCGTAAAGCGAATGAAAGGTGGGGGTTCTATCTGTATTCCTACCCTTAAATCTCTTAGATCAACATATTTGACGGATGTTGAAAAGGCAAATGTGCTATCTGAACAATTTGCCCAAGTCAGCAGTTCCAATAATAATTCTCCCGAATTTTTAATGCATAGAAAATTGTTTGAACATGAACACTATGCCACCATTACAAAGAAGCCAAACAATAGTAATGGGTTGAACGCTCAATTCACGATCGGTGAACTTAACCGATTGTTGCGTCATCGAGATCATGTTCTAGTTCTTACTAGATATAGGGTAGGCGGGTATATATAAGAGGGGACAACGTGACGCGGTAAT